TATCATTATCATTATCATTATCATTATCATTATCAATATCATTATCATTATCATTATCATTATCATTATCAATATCATTATTATTTTGTTCATTTTATTATACATTTAAATAATTCTAGACTTTATTTTTCTTTGACTAAATTTTATTCATTTTATTTATCAAATTTTTATGATTAAAAAAAAAAAAAATTCAGATCAAAGATGATGTGGAACAACTCGAAAAAATTCCTCGATTGATAAATTTGATCGAAGATGATCATGCTATTGAAAATCTTCCACGATCTGTTCAAATAATTGCTGAACAATGGCGAACATTCCAGGTTAACTTATTTTTTAATTCTTCATATTTGGCTGATAAGGAAAAAGGAGAAGTCAACAAATTAACAAACAAACACACATATTTATTTTCCCATTATTTATTTTAATCTTTAAAAATTTAATTGAATTTAACATTTTATAAGAAATTTCATACATGAATCATTCGTTCGAATATATTTAAAATTATTGCAAATCAATCAATTCATAGTATTTATCAATTAAAATATCTAAAGTTATATATTTAAAACAGTTAATTTATATCTGTATCATTTTGATACGTTTTAAATCATTTCAAATAAATTGATAAGCCTTAATAATTTATTTAGATAAAAAATGTAAATCCGACACTGTTAAGTCATGCTAATGCATTAAAAATGCTTACTGAATTAAACAATCGATTAGAACGGATCGCATTACCGAGTGTAGCATTATCAGCTAAATTACAACATGCACAAGCATTGTTATCATCAAATTTGAATGAATATTTTCGAGCGGCTGCTGATCAATTGGTGCAAGAAATGAAACAACAAATTGGAAAATATATCGAACATGTTCGCGTACAGGTTAAAGTTTTTTTTTTTTTTATAATTACAACAATGAAAATTTTAATAAAATTTAAAAATTAAATTTAAAAAATATGATATTGCTTAATGCTAAATTTCTTTTATTTTTTTTTCTGTAGTGATATGATTTTTGCATTATAGGAATGATTAGATATGAGAAAAATAAGATTAAGAAGTAGATCACTGTCAAATTACTCCATTTTCTAAAGTTATCCAATGATAAAGTTAGTGGGGAAAAAATTTTTAATTTAAGTTGATAAATAGATAAATTATATTTTATATCGTTAAAGGAAATATGATATAATTGAATTGATATTTATCAGCTAATTATAAAGGTTTTTGGGAATTTAAAATTAAAAAAAGTAAGTAGCGACATGAAAAATTAATGCTACAAAACTTGCAAAAAAAATATTTTTTACTAAAGTACTTGGAATAAAAAGCCCAATATATTTTTTGTCGATTTAATTTTCATTTTTAATTTAATTGATGCTGCATAAAAGTATGACTTAAAATTAAGAAGATGGCTGACAGTAAATTCTAATTATGATTTAGTTGGAAGAATCAACTCTTGAGGATTCGAGTAAATGATTAATATTAGACAATTGAATAATATTAGACAACTTTCCTGCATTAATTAGTTTATAAGATGCAATTTAAGTTTAATTGATAGTGACAGTCACTTCCATACCGATTAATCCATAATGAGCCAGAAATTTTCAGCAAGAATTTTATCCGAAAATATTTCTTATTTCAAAATTTAAATATCTGAAAATTTAATTTTTGTTTAAATTTTAAAAAATATCTTCTCATATTATACAAATTTATTATTATGATAAGTTAGAGAATAATAAAGAAGAAAATGTTAGATAAAAACTGATTAGTTTAATAATAAAATTTTGAAACTTTTTAATTGTTAATTATTCATTAATAGTTTAATGAGCTTAATTATATTTATCCAATTATGCAAAATGATGATGAAATTACAGATGTTAACGAATGTATCAAGTTGTGTTCCATTATTTAACATTATTAGAAGAATGCGTACTGCACTATGTCAAGCTTTTATTGATCCATTTGTTAGTTTTTTTCAATTTGTTTTTTTTTTTGTTTGAAATTTTTTATCAATTTGTTGAATTATTACCATTTCCCGAAATTCTAAATCATTAATAATTATTTGTAATGCTCTTATCTTGATGATAAAAGAATTTTCATTTCATTCTTTTTCCTATTAACAATTAAAATTGATAGGCATTAAAATCAACGATTAGCATCGTGAGCCTTTTTTTTTTTGTTTTGATATGGCCTGTATTGGGTGATTAATACTATTCAATTTGATTACTCCTAAATAATTAATCGTCTAGTTTATACTGAAAATAATAGCATATCGTATATACATGTCTTGGCCACATTAAAAAAAATAATTGTTAATCGTTTAAACCAAAAAGAAAAACCATTTTTAAAAAATTTTTTTCTTCATTCCATTATTAATGATTCAAGTCATTTGATTTAAATTTTGTTAATCCAGTTACTCGATTGTGTATTTTCATTCCGGCAATAAATTCTTTAATATAATTAGTTGATGTTAAGCATTTATTATCATTTTATTAGTATGATTATAATATCTAGAGGTTGGATCGATTTTAACAAAATTAAAATTATTAAATTCGTTCATCGTTTTTCAAGATAAAAAAAAGAAAAAAGTTACTTGATTAATTAAATATCAAATTTCAGAATGGTGTTTGGGCATCAATGGTTATAAGTATTTTATGTACTATACCACTTATCATTATGGGATCTGCAGCATCGGAACTGTATAAAAAGAAACATCCTTATCCAAAATAGTAATTTTTAATTTCTCAAATTAATTTAATTAAAATTATTCAAACTTTGTAGTTTAATCTATTTTCTTTGGTTAATTCATTGTAAAAAATATTCATTCAATTTTCGTTTCTTTTTTTTTTTAGCATTGTAAATGAGCCAACAAATACAGATGGGCAAGGAGCATCAGGCACACTTGTTACTGATTCCTATGACGTAAGAAGTAAACAACAAAAATTGTAAGTTCTTCGTGAAACGGCAATGTATATAAAATTACATGAAAATACGATCGATATGAGAGGGGGTATTCATTCAATTATGATAGGCCTTTTTTTTTTTCAATATGACTTTTTATTTTGAAATTAGATTTACTTAGATTCAATTATTATTATTTGCTTCATTTTTTTTAGTATTATCTTCTATGGATGGTTCAATTTTAAAATTATATATGCTTAGGTTAAATTATTTTTTTCATTTTTTAGTTTTATCTTTCATGGATGGCTCAATTTTAAACTTATACTTGCTTAGATTAAATTATTATTATCTCTTTTTTTTTTAATTTTGCAGAATGTATCCAAATACCTATGCAATGTATTTTGGTTATCCGCCACCCTATTTGAGAACAAGGAGTTGATACAGTACGGGATATCCGATATATCATCTTCAGAAGTTATTTATTATTCAATGTTAGAAATATGATGGGTTATTAGTTTTCGAAATGTTTTACTCTCTACTCCCTCTTTCTTTCAGTTGAATTCTGAAAGAACAATTCTAGTAAACTGTATTGTATAAGATGATAATTTGCTTTTAATTTAATTATCAAATATTATAAAACATGCAATTTCTGTTTCATTTTGTCCAACTAATTGCTATAAAATTGAGCATTTAAAAATTTTTTCTGTATTTTTTTTTGCTATTGAATATGTTTGATATAATATACATATGACTTATCCCATTCATACTAATTTTTGCATATTTATAATGAGGAAAATGAAGAAACGATAAAATCTTGTCTCTGTTAATAATTCTATTTAAAGTTAATTGCTATCATTTTGAAATTTCCAATCAATGAAAAAATAATTAACAATAATTGCAAGTTAATTAAGCGTAAAATGATTATTATAATTAATCTACCATATGTGATAAACAAAATTTCATTTTAATTTTTTCATAACTCATAAAATGTTTGTAACCATTACCAGATGTTTCACGCTCGATTTCGAAAATATTTGAAATGCTTTTTTGTCTTTCAATCATTTGTATTCCGAACATTAAAGTTGACGATTGTATTATTCAAATAAAAAATAACAAAACAAAAAAAAACGAAAAGAAAAAATGGAACAAAAGATTGGAAAATGGGGTAACAAACGGATTGGTAAAGAAATATCGGAAATTCATGGAACGGTTTTTTTTTTTTTTTAAAGAATAGACACTGTTTAAAATTTCAAAGTATGACTTCATTAATGAATTAAAATACCTTTCACAAATTTGTTTATTTCCTATTATAACAATCAAGTACATGATTATTTTATTGTTATTGTTTTTTTTTTCGATTAAAAAAGTTCATTATCAAAAAAAAACAAATATAATAAATTCCATTCCAATTTTCTTTGTTCAAATGTAAAGCAAAATATATAGGATGACTATTTTATATTACCATTTTAAAACAATTTCGGGAAATTTTGTTAACAGCAAAAAATAATTTCAAAAAATGTTTCGCACTCATTTTCTCTTTCATTGATTCCTATTCCATCAAATGATACAAAAAAAAGAAAATGCTTCAATAGAATGGAAGAAATGAATTTCATCCATTTCCAATAACGATAACAATTTCCTAAAAGTGGAAGAAGGATCACCAAAAGTCATTTCATCATCTCTCTTCCCTTTCTTTCTCCCTCTCTTTCTCCCTCTCTTTCTCCCTCTCTTTCTCCCTCTCTTTCTCCCTCTCTTTCTCCCTCTCCCTCTCTTTCTCCCTCTCCCTCTCCCTCTCCCTATCTCCCTCTCTCTTTTTCTTCATTTTCATTCCTTTCCTTTTTTTCGTCTTTAAAAAAATATATATTGAATAAAAAAAGTCGTCATAGCATCAAAATGCAGACAA